ACGTCTTCATCAGTTCCCTCTTGACCTGCCTGCACGTTCCACTTAGCGGTAGATGCGATCAAATGTACGGCGTGGTCCTCCATCGGGTCCTGGACTGTATCCTCGGCAGCGCACGTCCTCCTGGCCCAGGAGCGTCGACTCGTCGCCGCTGGTGCGATCGCGAAGGCAGGACAATCGGCACTGGAGAAGGAATGCACAGCTCGTTTTGCACCGGCTCTCCGTGCCAGTAAAGGGGGGTCCTCAGGTGGGGTGGCGATTTTGGTTCGACAGTACCTTGGATTTCATGATCCTGATTTTGATGCTGTCGTGGTCCCCCACATGGCTCTCAGTGGCATCGCGTCGGTCCCTGGAGCGCCCCAAACCCTCTTCACGTTGGTTCATCTTCGCGATTGCGAGGACCTCTCTGATGGGAACCTCCGGATTCTTGCTGATGTCGGAGCTCGGCGCGGCGAGTTTGCAGGCTCCCATTGCGTTGGGAACGACTTCAATATGACGCCAGAAATACTGGCGATTTCTGCAGTACCAGGTCGGCTGAAGGCCAACATCATCCACGCGAAGGAGGGGACATGCACGAGCGCGGGAGGAGCCAGGACTTTGGATGTCTTCATTCTTTCTGCTGGCCTCAGCCGTTGCTTGCAGTCTGTTGAGCCCGTGCTCGGGACGGATATCAATGCCCATGCTCCTGTGCGCCTTCTCCCATACCCGCAGCTGGCTGTGTTCAAGGCCCCCTCTTTCCTGAAGCCCCCTAAGTCGCCTGTCGAACGGCCGATCGGACCGCAGCCGCGGCCTGCCGACCACAGTGCTGTTCTGGACTGCGCTAACTATGGCATGGATTTGATAGCACGCAGAGCCCCTCGAGGTGAGGTCCAACGACGCCTCTACGCGCTCTACAGGGTTTGGGCCGATTCGACCGAATGGGAATTATCTCAGGTCCTCCAGACGGGCCTCCATATTTGGGGCACCAGGGGCAGACGGCCTCGCTTGGCCTGGGTTTCTGCTCTCGGCAAGGATTCCAAGGCCTCCTACAAGGACCCCGTTCTGTTCCCTGCTCGGTTGTTTTCTCGGACTCTCCGGATCATATTGGGGGCTATGGCTGATGGTGATGGTTATATTTTCTCCCGTTATCGATCTCACTTCCTCGAACCACCTCAGAGCATTTACGATTCTCTGGGCGATTTCCTCGGAGCTTTATCAGCAATGTTCGGTATGTGTTTTCTGGATTTGGGAGCGTTCATCATGATTCGGAAGGTCTTCGTAACTTTCAAGCTCTTCTGTCTTTGAATGCTTGGCGCAATTGGCTCCTGGATGGAATCGACAAGGGCGGGCGGAATGCGCACCGCTGGACCCGTAAGCTGAAGCCGTGGTTGGCGACGACCACCCTTTCTGCCGAAGGAACCATCCTCTCCGAGCCCCCGTCGTTGCTCCAGGCCGAGGGGACCCGCTTCGGAAAACTCTGGAAACCGAAATCCCATCCTCCTGAGGCCGAGTTTGAACCTCTTGAATGCTTGAAAAGGTCTCAACAAGGGCTCCTAAGTTCGCGCTTCGCGCTGCGCGAGAGCGCGAATAACTTCGCGCTCTCGCGCCGCCCCCCCAAGGGGGAGAAGAGGAGGACGAGGAGGAGGCGGAGGAGGAAGGAGGACGGCGAGGCGCGAAGCGCGAAGAACTTCGCGCCCTCCTGGGAGCCCTTGCTCAGGGTGTTGGCCCCGGACGGCTTGACTGCCGTGGGCAGGTCCGATGCTTCAGGCACAGCTTCCAGTGGGGATGGCCTCCGCGTGCGTCGTTTGTCTTTGCTTCAGCTCGGTCTTCTCCTCGCTGTCTGCACCATGCTCCGCATGACGGAGTGCACGGTAGTAATAATAATAATAATAATAATAATAATAATAATAGTAGTAGGAGTAGGAGTAGGAGTAGGAGTAGGAGTAGGAGTAGGAGTAGGAGTAGGAGTAGGAGTAGGAGTAGTAGTAACAGTAGCAGTAGCAGTAGTGCCCCACCAGACCCAGATCATCATCGAAAATGCTTCTGGCGAAACCTGCTGGTGGGCATCGGCCGATGGGCCCTTTTTTTTCCGCTGCGTGCAGATTGTGGGCGCGCGCCCGCAGACCCCACGCTGCGCAGTGGGAAGCCGACAACACAGCAACGGGGGGAGGGGAAGCAATCGGAGAGGGATGTGGGAGAGAACGGCGGAAAAGGGAAGGCAGACGGGGGGAGCGGGCGGGGGTTCCGGAGATGGAGACGAGCACGCGCCACCGACGCGCGCGAACGAGGCCCGCATGGCATGGCAAAGTGCCAGACCCAACGCTCTTGGCATTGACCCCCAAGGGGATCGGTTGCGTACACGTCTTACTCCCGCCTTTGATCCTCCTCCTCCTCCTCCTCCGCCTCCTCTTTCTCCTGCTCCTCCTCCTCCTCCTCCTCCTCCTCGTCCTCCTCGTCCTCCTCCTCCTCCCCCTCTTCCTTGCCTGAATGTCGTTGTTCCTTCTCCCCAGCTTCGTCCCATCCGCCTTCTCGTCCCCCCTCTCCTCCTCTTCTCCCCGGCGGCAATCGCTGATACTTGAAAGCATGGGGGCGGGCATCACCTGTTTACCCGGGCCGCCGTCTCTGTGGTGAGTGTACGGCGCCCGTGGTACACCAGCCAAGTAAAAAGGTACAGCGCGCCCTGGGGCACTCAACCACCATACCCGCCTGGGGTAAACAGGTAGCGGGCGGCTTCCGGGTAAACAGGTAGAGCCTGTACCTGTAGAAGCCACTTTGCCCTGAGGTACCCGCTGGGGTAAACAAACATAGGCTGTACCTGTTTACCCCAGAGGTTTCGTATCTGTTTTGACGAGGGGGGCTGGGGGTAAACAGGTGCTTGCTCTACCTGTAGAGGCAGCCGCTCGTACCAGAAGGGTCAGCCGGTGCCTCTCCACCTGTAGCAGTTTGGGGTAACCAAGCATCTGCTCTGCTTGTCGATTTGGCTTGCCTCCCTCCCTCGACCGGTGGTCGGCCAGTAGCCGTTGGCTGCTGTGCCTGCCCCCCCCCCCCCCCTTGCACACCAGGCTGGTACACCCTGCGAAATGCTTAAGAAATCATGGGATAAGAAATTCATAGTCTCAGAACTTGAATAAAAACCCAACATTCCTATCAACATCGTGGGATTTACATTGAAAAGTTAAGAATAATCGAGACTCTGGCCGAAAACTTGGGTATTCTTAAGCATCGCCTAAGGTGTATGACCAGGCAGGGGCGGGAGGTCCGTCCAGGAGGCTGTGCGGGTGCCCGTGCCTGCACGAGCGCGGCCCGCTGCTGGCAGAGTAGCTGCTCGCACATGGCCCGGGTCCGCCGCGGGGGATCTGCGACGCATGACATGGAGGAAGGCCTGCTCTTTGTCGGACGCCTGCGAGTGGGCACTCTGCGACTGGTGGGGCGCGCTCGGCGAGTGCCTGTGTTGTGGCGACCTCCTGCTCTCCAGCACTCCTGTAGGGCAGCGCCAGGAGCCCTGTGCTGTGGGCCCGCCCCGCGCCGTCGCAGGCCCTGGCCCCCCTCTCCCCGGCAGTCCGGGCGTGCCCATGCTCCATGCGTGATCGCCGATCGACTACGTTTAGGTCGGGCGTGTCCCCCTACAGGGGGATGTTGGGCGAACAACGAAAACTAGTCGCAAACATGTTCAAACATACTCGAAAATAGTCACAAAACCGTCCCCAGACTTTTTGTAATACTATTTTTGCACATTCCTCCTGTAGAGGGACGTGCCCGAACTAAGACTACGGCCCTCACGCGCCCGGCACGGGGCCCTTCGTCCTCCTGGCATTCCCCCTCTCTTGCCCCACCGCCTCCTTCTTCACATGGTCCTCTTCCTCGGCCGAACCTTCGCCCTCGAAATTCTCTTCCTGGCCTTCCTCACCCTGCGCCCCCTCCCCATCAGTCTTCCCGCCCCTGCACTTATAGTTATCCCCCTCTCCCCTCTCCGATCTGCAAAGGAAGCGACATCTGTCCGCCCTGCCTCCCTGTTCCAGCGGATTCTGTCTCCTCCCCACCCCCCTGTCCGTATCTGTGTATTACTCCCCCTCCTCCTGGTACCCTCCCCTCTCCTTTTTCTCCTCTTCACCTCAGTGTCTACCGCCGCCCCCTCCGCATCATGCATTCGGCCGTCGCCTCCATTCACCGACCACTCGACGAATGGCACGCGCGCCGACCATCATCCAACAGAGCGTCCACAGCAGGATGCCCTTCCCTAACCCTGCGTAGTCTGGCTGCCAGTGCAGTTGCGAAAACCATGGAAGCAAACATGCTTTGTTGGGCGGCTAAATGCCACGGAGTGCTTCTGCGGTTTCCAATCCTGGCTGCCCGAATCTGCCTTCCAACCCAGTCGGCCTCAGGAGCCAAACCACATGGATTTTCCATACGGTTTCCCATGGGGGGGACCAAACCAGATGACCCTTCGCGGTTAACTGAAAAATGCAATGGTCACTGGAGGAGGGGATCAACAATCATTAGTCATAAAAAATGAGAGCTCAAGAAAAACAGCAACATCAACGACAACACGCAGAATCCGAGCAGCGGAATCACACTTCAGCCACGCACCCAGGGACAATGAATGACAGTTCGACCCCCTCGCTCTGATTCTTGGCCTCGGGGGGCCAACACTCGTGCCGCAGATCTATCAGAAACGGATCCACGACGGAAGATGGGGTCGGGAGATCCTTGGGGGGCGCGCACAGAGAAGCCACGACGTTGGAGGTCTGGGTGTGTGCAGCCTGAACCAAGGCACTCGCAGAGGCGCAATGACTGTGCCAAGCCGAAATGCATGAAAAACATTTGGGCGCCCGCAGCGGGTACGGAGAAAAAAAACACGACGGCCAACAGCACGCGTTGTCCCAACAAAAAGACGGCGGCCGCTATTGGGCAGGCGACCATTTGTCTCAATTGGGCAACGCCCGCGGCGACACCGACAACGAATCCTGTTCAAAGTGGACAAGAACTGCTGTCGGTCTTCGTCCTCATTCCTTCCGTACAATTTTTTCGGCGATGCCGACACGATCAAGAATGCCTGACGTCGCTCCGCCGCCCCGCGAACGCCGGCCACCTGCGTCGGCCAGAGGTCGCTTCCGCACCGTACGCGGGCTCCGCGCACTCGCCGTCCACCGCGCCGCACTCGCCGTCCAGTCCGACTCCGGCGATCGGGTCCTCGAATCCGAAGAACCTTTCGGGGCCCCAAGCGTCGTGCGATGACGGACCTTGCGGTAACCCTGGAACCCTCAAAGGCCTCACTGCACGGTCCGCCACCGAACGGTCTGGGGACCCAGGAGGCCCCAGTCATCCGAGACGTCCTCGGAGAACGACCCGAGTTCCAAAACCGCGCGGTGACCCCGGATCCCCGCCGACTCACCACACGGAGTGGTCTCTGCATCGTTTGAGGGCCACTCGTTGGGCCTCGCTTCATGGGAGGGCGATTGATGGGGGGGGGAAGGAAGAAGGTGCAGTTCTCGGGCCCCACAAGCCCCCTTGTGGGCCCGAAAGGGCCCTTCTGCAGCCCTCGCTGCCCCCCCACTGATCGCCCCCCCCCTTGCGCGACGCCCAGCCCCGAAACACCTCCAGACCAGCCGGCGGGAGTGGCTGCCGGGGAAGCAGTGGCCCTCCTCGAAATAGCACTCGGCCAGCTCCGCGCGCTCGACTGATCCGTCCGCGCTCCAGCCGCGGCAGCGGAGCTCCGCCGCGCCCAGCTCGGGATGCAGGTCGGACATGCCGCCCTCCAGCCTGGGCACCAGACCCTTCTGAGCATCGTTTCGCCCCAGGGAGTAAACAGCCCTCCCCCATCAAAGGAGATCCCCAGCAGAGTCCTCCTCTTGCTTCTTTCTCCCGCTCCTCCAGTCTCCAGAGGTTTCTGGAGGTCTCCGGAGGCATTTCCCGATTGGTTTCCCATTTGTATTCTCATGGCCTTTCGCCGTCCCTCGTCTGGCCAAGTCCCAGGCGAGCAACGGAACATTTTTCGATTTCATGCGCTAATGGTATCTCCAGGGGAGCGGAGCGACACAAAACCATGTATTTTGCTTTTGGTGGTAGTTCCCTACCTAGGCTCTGCCTAGAGGGTTCTTACTCGCTGGGCTTAAAGGGGCCGGGCAGTGGGCTTCGCCCGGGCGGTTCCCCCGGTCCCCGCCCCGCGGTTCCCCCAGTTGCGCCCCCTTACCTTAGCTTTGCGTATCTCATCTTAGCTTAGCTTAGCTTAACTTCATCTTAGCTTCATCTTAGCTTCACTTAGCTGTAGCTGTAGCTTAGCTTAGCTTAGCATATCATAGCATCGCCATGTATAGCATAGCATAGCGCAGCATATCATAGCATAGCGTAGCATAGCATAGCATGCATAGCGCAGCATAAAATAGCATAGCGCATCATATCATAGCATACCATAGCCTAGCATAACATAGCGCAGCCTAGCGTAGCATAGCATAGCGCAGCATACCATAGCATAGTATAGCATAGTGCAGCATAGCATAGTGCAGCATAGCATAGCATGGCATAGCATAGCAGCACAGCAAAGGCAAAACAACATCAGCTACAGCAAAGCAGCGCACAAGCAACGCAACTCAACGCACAGCAAACGCAAAAGCAAAGCAAAGGAAAGGCAAACCATAAACAATGTGCAACAGTACGACCAGAGAGCCCACCCGGTGAGCGAATGCAGAAACATGCGTATGTGTGTGTGTGCGAAGGCAAAGCAAAAGCAAAACCAAGCAAAAGCAAACACAAGCAAAAGCAACAACAACTACGACGATGAGGAGAAGGAGGAGGAGGACGGCGTTTACTGTTACTACTAATGCTGCTTTCCTAGGGGCTCCAACTCCTAGGTAGGGTTGCACTGGGGTGATGATATCGCCAGGGTCGCCACGGGGGGGCACTGTTTGCTCACTGGGGCCGGCCGATCCCCATCACCACTGCCGTGGCCTTGGCCCCACAGGCCGACTTGCCCACCCAGGTGGGGCTATGTACCTGGTCCTTCGGGCATCGGGGGGCATGTCCTCAGCTGGGATGGTGGAGCAGCCCGCAACGCAGAGCCCCTCCTGAACCCAGAGTGGTCCTCAGTTCAGCATCTTGACCCTGGCCCAACGGGAATGGGATAGGTTGGACGATGCTGACCTTCTGCGAGGCCCAGAGGTCCGTGGTGTTGTCCATGCTGCTCCAGAACCAGCCGCGGTTCTCTCCGTACGACCTGGTCGGATCGACCCGGCCAGACTGCTCGGACTTTAGGTTGGCGGCCGCGCTCACGAAGCCGTCCTTGGTGCCAGCCAGCTGCAGGCACCTCGTTCTCGGGTCGAGGGTGCCCCGGTTGAAGCCGTTGGACGGCAGCGCGCAGATCGGCGCGATGGCGGCGAACACCCCGAGGCTCCTTCAAGAGGGGGGAAGAAGAGGTACCGATGCCGCTACCCTTCCTTGGTGTTCGCCCTGCTGGGCCTCCTGGGAGGCCCTCGTCGCCACCGCTGTATTCTCTTCGAAATGAGGGGTCAGACTGCACCCTAGGAAAGGGTCTGGAAAGTAGCGGTATCAGTGCGATTCTACCTTCTGCATAAGCCTTCGGAGCTCCGCGCGGCCTCCTTGGCTCGGGGCCGGGGCCTCCTGGCGGCGCCTTCGGCGCCAACCCTGGAGGGGGCCCAGCGCCGATCCAAGAAATCCGCGCAGAGCTCGGACAACTATGTACCGTGGAGGCCCGACCACAAGAAACCTTCCACAAGAAACCCAACGCTGAGACCCCAGGACGTCCATGGATTTTCGGTGCGGGCGTGTCTCGCTTGCCATCGCAGAGCCGTCGAAACCCAAGAAACCCGGGGCACCCTGGAGGCAAGCAGGGTGCGTCTTGGCATGGGCCTCCACTGTACGAGCAAGGCGCCCACGCCACGCACCATGTCTGGACTCCGTGCGGGCCCCGCGGCCGCGAGGCACGGTGCATACATAGCTTCTTCGGCTCAGAGGCCCCGCACCGCTCCCGGATCGAAGACCGGCGACGCCTCCAGAAGCACCAACGCGGTACGGTGCACACATGTCGTCCGCGGATTGTCTTTGTTCCCAGCCATCCTGTGGTGTTGGGTCCTCGTTTTGAAAAGACAGCGCCCGCGTCTCCTTCCTCCTCCTTCCTCCTCCCCTCCTCCCTCCTCCCGCTCCCCCCCCACTTTGGCATACTCCTCACGCGTTCCGTGGCCTCATAGGGATCTCCACCGAAGGTCCCAGTGGCGCAGCCCGCATGCGCCTCCCACACCTAGCACAGCGTTTCGTCACCCCATAGGGAGCTCGTCGACTCCTGTGGTCAGCGGCCAGCTCGTGCAACAGGATTCCCCCGCTGGAGTCGCCGGTGGCGAAGATGCGCGAGTCGTCCACTGGGATTCTTGCCCTGATGTGGTGGAGGACCTCCAAGACGAAGGCCACGTCGTCCAGGCAGTGGCTGTACCGGCACGTGCCCTCCCCCCTGGTCTTGTTCGTGCAGTGGCCCCGCACACGGCATGACTCGTAGCAGTACCACTCCCTCACCTTGAGGGGCAACGATAAGGGGGGGGGATAGGCATATGGGGGGACACTGCACGGTTTCCCCCAGGGCCGTGGGCGTCCCGAGGTGGGGGAGGAGGAGGAGGAGGAGGCTGAGGAGGGGGAGGTGGAGGAGGAGATGGAGGAGATGGAGGAGGAGGAGGAGGAGGAGGAGGAGGAGGGAGGAGGAGGAGGAGGAGGAGAGAGGAGGAGGAGGAGGAGGAGGAGGAGGAGGAGGAGGAGGAGGAGGAGGAGAGGAGGAGGAGGAGGAGGAGGAGGAGGAGGAGGAGGAGGAGGAGGAGGAGGAGGAGGAGGAGGAGGAGGAGGAGGACAACTGTCAAAGCAAGAGTCATCAACGATGTTGGAATTAATCCTCCCTCCAAGCTCCCTCTTCATAGGCTCCCACAACGGTTCGTTTCCATTGAGGGAAAACTGCCTCGTTGGAAGACAGCCGTTTGAAGATCCTGAAAGCATGCCAAAACATTGCTCTCGGGATTTCAACGCCACGTAGCAACCTGACTACGAAATCGTACCAGAACGCCATCTTGGGACTTCGACACCGCGAAGCAACATAACTGTTGCACCCGCATGCTCCTGAATCCTTCCAACATGTTATCTGGTACGTTACTCATGGGAATCCGTGAAACTCTTGCACATGTTTAAAACGAATGTGCGCGGCGCTCTGGCGAGAACCGCATTTTGGCAAGGAACCGCCCTGAATCCGTGAAGCTCTTGCACATTTTAAAACGCATGTGTGCGGCGCTAAGGCGAGAACCACATTTGATAACCACCCGCCCGCAATCCGTGAAGCTCGTGCAAATGTTGAAAACGAATGTGCGCGGCGCTAAAGCGAGAACGACATTTTGATAACCACCCGCCCTCAACCCGTAAAATCCTGGCAACTTTTTGAAAAGGAATGCGCGCGGCGCTAAGGCGAGAACCACATTTCGAATACCATCCGCCCTCAATACGAGAAACTCTTGCACATGTTTAAAACGAATGCGCGCGGCGCTAAGGCGAGAGCCACATTTTGAAAACCACCCGCCCTCAATCCATGAAGCTCTTGTACATTCTAAAAACAAGAACGTGCGCGGCGCTGAGGCGAGAGCCACATTTGAAAAACCACCCGCCATCCATCTGTGAAACTGTTTACACTTTTACAATTTCAGAGTCGTAAATCGTGAGGAAGTCTCAAGCGAAACGCCTGGCCCGTCCTAAAAAATGGCGTCGGGGTGCGACAGGGGGAAACTATCTACAAGGAGAAATAATGGAGGAGGAGGAGGAGGAGGAGGAGGAGGAGGAGGAGGAGGAGGAGGAGGTGGAGGAGGAGGAGGAGGAGGACGGGTCGCGCAAGCCCTTCGGAGAAACCCTCCAGCGGACACACCGACCTGGAATTGGCGACACATTGCCGATAGATCGGCGAAGGGCCCCCGATGATGAATCCGCACCTTCCTGGGCGGGGGTGGGCTCTCGGGTCTCTATCGGCGATCAATGGGCGATTGGGGGTCGATGCATCCCCCCCCATGCCCATCCCCCCCTATCGTTAGGTCGGGCTGGTCCCCCTACAGGCGGCTTTTGGACGACTAATACAACATGTTCAAAAATGCTCAAGGATGATCCAACAATAAATATAAACATCGTCCCCCGACAATTTTTGAACTATTTTGAAATATCATTCCTGTAGAGGGACGTGCCCGACGTAACCACATCGTGGCCCCTGAACCTTGACGGGATCGCATATGGGGCCGTCCTCGCCGCCGTCTACATCGTATCCCGCGCTCCCTGCGGCGTGCCAGCCGATGGGCCCGTCTTCGCCGGCGGCAGCCGGCGGCCAGCCCTCGCAGTGGACGACGATTGCCAGCGTCCGCCCGAAGGCCCTGAGCGGGCCGTCCGCCGACGCGTGCCGCTCGGCGTCGACACCGATGGCGTGGAAACTCCACACCTGGAGAATTTCAAAGCGGCGGATCGGAGGAAGAAGAGGTACCCATACTGCTACCCTTCCCCTCGTTTTCCCATGCTTGGGCTTCCGTGGTGGCCCTCGTCGCCACGGCTGGATTCGCTTCGAAATCCTGGTCAGAACGCACCCCGGAAGAGGTCTGGGGAGTGTCCGCATCGTTACCTTGTAGTTACCATGGCAGAAGCATCGATCTTCGAAGGTCCATGCGTATTTCTGGGATCTGTGCTGGACTGCCGTGGCTCAAACGCCTATCCGAGAAATCCGCGTGGATCTCCGATAGTTTGTGCTGATGCAGCTCTCTTTGTTGCTGCTGCTGCTGCTATTGTTGTTGTTGTGGTGGTTGTTGAACTCTCACGCTTGAACAGTTATTATAGTTGATCCCCCCTCCGGTTACTATGTTTTCCTTTTGTTATATAGATATTGAATATACAATTTGAAGTGCTTGCCCCAGGGCTCGCACCCTATTTTCTACCATGGAAAATCACAAGGGTCAAACTGCGCCCCTCGCCCCGGGTTACAGCAACAGCGGCTGCCGCTTGAGATTTCCTCAAATTTAGCCAGGACCCCAGCTCCCGCTTTAGACTTGCTCGCAGTTTACTCAGTAATCGCGCTCTCGCTTGGGACTTCCTTAGAATCATACAGGAATCGCGTTCTCGGCCTCAGGACTCGCGCTATCGCTGGAGACTTGCTTGGAATTTATTCAAGAATCGCGCTCTTGCGTTGGAATTTCCCGCAATTTGCTCAAGCGCCGCTTCCGACACTTAAGCACCCAGGAGTCGCGCTCACGCCTAGGACTCCCTCACAGCTTACTTAGGAATCGGAATCTCGCTGCCCTTCGTGTCCCCGTTGCAGCCCTTCGTGGCCCCCTCGCTGCCCTTCGTGGCCCCGTTGCAGCCCTTCGTGGCCCCCTCGCTGCCCTTCGTGGCCCCGTTGCAGCCCTTCGTGGCCCCCTCGCTGCCCTTCGTGGTCCCGTTGCAGCCCTTCGTGCCCCCTCGCTGCCCTTCGTGGCCCCGTTGCAGCCCTTCGTGGCCCCCTCGCTGCTCTTGTGGTCCCGTTGCAGCCCTTCGTGGCAACCTCGCTGCCCTTCGTGGCCCCGTTGCAGCCCTTCGTGGCAACCTCGCTGCACTCCGTGGCCCCGTTGCAGCTCTTCGTGGCCCCGTTGCAGCCCTTCGTGGCCCCCTCGCTGCCCTTCGTGGCCCCGTTGCAGATTGCGCTGTCGCTCGAGACTTCCTCGCGATTCATGCAGGACGCACGCTTCTGCAATCCGCTTGCTCGACCTGGCCGCCTGGGCCCGCCTTCCCGACCAGCCCGTTAGGGCCTATCCGCCCGACCTGCCCGTCTGGTTCTGCCACTTGTTTTCTGCTCCTAGCCCCTCTTCTGCTACTCTCTCTCGTGCTCCATCATCTTACTTTGCCCTTGTCCCTTCTTTCCATCCGTCCCCTCTTCCCCTGCCTCAGGGGCTACACGAAACACATGTTACAGGCAAGGAAGATATACCCCCAATGCGGTACGATCGAAGACGACGAGAGCGGGAATCGAGGGTTCGGGATAAGCGTGTTTAATGACACGCGAGCAGATAAGAGCGATCAATAGTCAAATGATGATTGTTGTTGTTGAACTTGTTGTTGTTATTGCTGTTGCTGTTATTGCTGTTGTTATTGCTGCTGCTGTTGTTGTTGCTGCTGCTGCTGCTGTTGTTGTTGTTGTTGTGGTTGAAATGGTTGTTGTTTTTGTTGTTGTTGTTGTGGTTGTTGTTGTTGTTGTGGTTGTTCTTCTTCTTCATCGAAGACCATGGGCCAGCCCTCGTCCGGCATCTCCCCCTCGGGGTACTGCACGTAGAACGTGCGGGTCTCCCCGTCCACGCGCACGAAGCCCCTCTCGACGCCCCCCACGCCTCCGCCAGCCCCTCTCGACGCCAGCGCCGCCAGCAGCGCCGCACGCCAGCGCGGCCGACCTCCGCGCCAGCGCCGCCAGCAGCGCCGCGCGCCGGCGCCGCGCCCCGC